TTTCCTTACCCCAACTCTCTCGCACGCCAATTACAAGATGTGCATCAACTGCTTCCCCATTACGCTCAGCTTCAACGAGACGAAGGAGCGGCTGAGAGGAGTTTCAGGCTGATATGTTGAAAAACAACTTTCTTCCATGTCTCGAGCATCTCCTAAAAAACTATTCGTCCTGAGATTGATTCTAATTCAAATTCAGCAAAAAACTATCCATTGAATTGTGTTGTGGTACACTTATCAGTGGCAAAAAAGTAAAAATAGAAGAATTCATTGCGCAGTTCGGCTTGGTGGGGGCATTGAACGTTACTCAGCTAAAGTTGTACAGGCCACTTTGTGAAGACCTGTAAGATCCTGTGACCAAAGTGGATCGCTTGTGTTGTTTCACAGCTTCACACGAGTTCACAGGCATGACTAAGTGACCTGTTAGTTAACATGAACCAACAAAAGGAACTAGCGCAAGTGTAATGTGTCCCCTCCAAGCCGAACGGCGCCCAATTAACGATTTGTAGTCGGCTGCGAAAGCATAAGAGCGATAAATACAAAAAAAAAATACAAAATAGTCTCTGACAGGTGAAAACAAGACCATTTGGGATGAAACTTGCACAAAAAGACGTGCACCCCCAAGGTTCACAATCAAGAAAAAATAACAAAGAGAAGAAAAAAAAGGAAAGAAGAAGAAGACGACGAAGAAGAGGAAAGAAAACTAGAAAATTCAATAAAAGTCTACAGAACTGCAAAATAATACTGACCTCTCTAACAGTTTTACTCCGTATTGTCTGGGAGTACGTGTTTCACTGCCCGGTGGAAGAGGAGCTGGTGGGGCTGTTTCTGGATCAATAGCCTGGAAATAAAGCTTAGGAGCACGGAAAAAAAACAACCTGGAGTCATAAAAGTCGTTGAAATTCTTGAGAAAGCTGTGCAGGTTGAAATTTACCATGAAAGGCAGCGGAAGGATGGCAGTCTGTTGATGAAACTTGGTCCATTCGCTTATGTATGCTCTCAATAAAGCCTGATCACCACGCTCGACATGACAATTGATACGCTAAAATGATAACAAAATCTTCATTCTCAAAAAAGGGCGCAGTTTGGCTTTGGGGGGGGAGGGCACCAAAATCTATTCAGCGGAGCTAGTTTAGGGCATCCTGTGAAGAACTGTAAAATCCTGTGACCTGGAGCGGCTCACTTCTCCCACCTCGCAGCTTCACAGTAGTTAACAAGTCTCATCAAAGTGTAACGTGTTAAATCAACACGAACTAGTGAAAGGAATTAACAAAAGTGCAGAATGCCCCTCTCAAGGCGATAAGCGCCCAAAAATAGGAAAAAAAGTGTAGGGAAAGTGAAGGGTGAGTTTTGCCATTTCTCCCAGTTCCACGAATTCCTCATTCCTTCGAATCGATACCTATACTTTTTATTCCCCTCACCATCAGATCCCTAATTTCTTTAAAGCCGTCTAGTATAAAAGCGATCTTAGGATGGCTTAGCGCTTCTCTCTTTGGAATCATTCGACTTCATCCTTAAGATTACCAGAAGGCGGAGTTTGGCTTGGTGGGGACATTTATCTGGTTCCCATCGGCCACTGCCGATACTATCGCGGAGACTTGTAAGCTCCTATAAAGTATGCAAAAGCATCAGCTTCGTTCTTACTTGGCAGAAGTCTACAAGTCCTATCAATGTGAAACATGTAATCAAAAGAAATGAGAACAGAGCGAAACTGCCGCCCCTCCCCCCCCCAAGCCGAACAGCGCCCAGCAAAATTGACCAATATCGATCACTATGGAGCAAAGAGCACAACAGGTTTTTCTCAGTCACGTACCTCCCTAGCCATCCTTAACATATTCCTTGACGTTGTAATCGATCGCAGCATGTAATTTCTTCTTCTTTCCATCGTCTACCCACGAATGGATTTGTACACAGCAAGAAATAAATCCTGCCATTCCAGCTGAGTTACTCTCTAAAATAATGAAAAATGAAAAAAAAGAGGCAAAATGCATTCAGGAACGCCACTCATGAACAGCTTGGTAAAATGCCGTACATAACAAAAGAAAACCAAACTTCTTGTGTGATCAGACGCCATAACAATTGTATGGATTTTGGCCCATTCAGTTTCAAAATTCAAACGGGCATACCGATCGGGGCACCTGAAAATAGGAGTTCCACATTATTCACGACTTAGCGGCGTGTCATTGACACGTCTATGCAGCTACCATTTGTATGGCGGACCCAAGCTAATCCAGCCCGAGCATCATTTTTCAAAATTAATGGGTCTATTTAAATCACAGATTACATCAGGTACTTTTTACAACATGCTCTTCTCCAGTTTTCACATCTTTTTTTGTGGGAACACACTGCAATCTGTCAAAGCGGAATTGTTGCATCATTAGTGCCGAGTTTCATGAGTCGCCTTCTCCGAAGGACCCACACTCAGCGATCGGTGTTTAGTTCAAAGATTGTATATGCATCTTAAGAAAACGCTTATGGATAGTACATACACAACAGAAATGAAGATGCTTATACTTTCGAAAGAGATTAACAAATTGGTTTCAAATGGAGAAAACGCCATAAAGTTTTGGAACCGTCATTTGGGGGGGAACGGCGTACCCTGTACTCGCCTTCAGGTAATTATTATTCAATCTAACATTATAAGTCTGTTTAGCATAAGAAATGTATTAGAGCTTTCCTGTACAATTTTATTTCTTTATTGAGGATTATTAATTTCTTTAAAGACGCATAACTCGTCCAGGTGAAGTTCCCTGAAGGACCCTCATCCAAACGGTCCGCTGTTTAGTTCAAAAAAGACCAACCAGAATGAAACGTAAAATGGCAGAAAATGAAAATACGTTTACATCCTATATACATTCCCAGAGCGACGAAATTGGTCCTAAACGTCTTAAAATTCGAGGGGAAAAAATCTTTGTAACGCCAATTCGTCCCTTCACTTCTTGATCTCCTAAGACACATGAAAACTCGTCCACTGCAAGGAATTCTTCGAAGGACCCACATTAAAGCGGTTCGCTGTTTAGTCCAAAGAATTATGTGCACCTTAGGAGGCATATATTTTGCACTACGTCCGCAGAAAATTGCCTCAAAATGAGGAATTTCATAAACGTGGACAAAAAGCTAAAGGAATAAAAACGACTTTTCGGACATTTAAAACTCACTCTTAGCATCGACGCCATAAATTTGACGCGTATTCGTTTGATGTAGTGCCGAAAACGTCTTAACTGAATTTTGACCAGCGAATAGGTTGTCTAGCACAACCTAAACGAATATTAGCGCCAGACTAGTATAAATGTCGCTTGTCGTCCATCGAATACATCCAGCTTCAGGTTGAAAGTAGTTGCAATCGAATAAATAGAAGCAGAACCGTCTGGGTGAAGACGATCGCTGGCAAACTTCTCCCGATCCGCTGATTTTCGGCTGCTTTTGCGATAAGGAAGAAGCAACTAATTAGTGGATTAGAGCGCGATAACTACACGTTTGGCACTATCCGGCCACTGCAACCCCAAAATGCCAGTGTAGTCGCGCTTAAACTTCATCAGCGATGGCAGGGGGGTCAGGACCGGGCAGCACCACGCATGCGAAATTTATTAATTTAAAATAAATTCGATTTAATTCTATTTAATTTATTAATTCGAAATTTTATTCGATGCTGGTCCCGTTTGGCAACGCTTTGGCGCGACCAACGCTCGCGTAGTTACCGTCCTTTGCCTGTCTGCGCTCTAACCTTTCGCGGCAGGACCACGATAGGAAGTTCAAGTAGTCACATAACTTTCCGACTGTTCGGACCGCGAAGTATGAACGGGGTCTTATGTCTCTCACGCAAAAAAATGTGGGTCGAGGGTAAGCGTCAACTAAACAATTCGTCATATCACCGTCGTCAATTTGTATGTGTAGGTGCTAACGTATTTGAGGATATTTGAAGAGGGGGGGAGAGGAAAACGAACGGGAGGCTGCTCTTCTGCTCCCCATCCCCCTCGCCGAGACAGTATCCCAGCGAATGTTTTTCCCAAAAAGAGTTTCCATGAGAAACTTGTTAGGGGCTAAAGTGTCTACGACGTGTGGGGGTGGGGCACCCCACGGCTCATCTGGTTTTTTTCCTGCTTCTCAAGGCTTACGCCCAGACGATCACTCTTGCAGAGGAGACACGCTATACACAATTCTCTAAGACAGTCTCCGCTCTAAGCATAAGCCTTGGCTGGGGAAGAGACCCGATTTTTCTTTTGCATTGCTTCCGCCCCACCCCCTTTAAGTACGGCATAGCGCGCCGTTGTCAGCCGAAGCAAACACCTCGAGAACGCGTCATACACCAAAGGAGGATGGAAGGATGATAGATCAGGGTTAAAGTACAGGATGAGTGGAAACAGTGGACATGCAGTACACCCCCCCTCCAAAAAAAAAGTTCGCTCCCTTTCATTACGACTCCCTCACGAAAGCTACCCGCCAACCCTTCTCAAATTCTTCTAAATCATTATAGATTTTCCAACGATTTCCCGGTTTTCCCTCAAAAACGAGTATCGGGTTGGTGGGGCGAATGGAACGCGTCCGAAAAGAGGGAATCCAGCGACAGGAAAATCTTCCCTTAATGTGTTTTCAACTTTGTCTCGGGTCAAAACCCATGCTCCCAACCGGGTACGACCCCCTCCCCACTGATGGGATTCTACCAATGTAAGAGCTACAAGAGGCTATTCCTGAGTGAACATGATGCTGGGTGAGGTAAGACTGGAAAGGATCTACTACAGGGAATAGATAAGTAGCTAAAAAAAATAAGTAAATAGAAAATTTCTGCAGATCTGCCTTCGAGTAGTGGTTGTACTGAAAGTGGAAGTGGTCCCAGCCGTATTCAATCATTGGAGGTCACCGTTTCCGCAGAACGATCCGTATGTGAAGAGTAGACCAGACGAAAGAAACTGATCTCCAAAAGAATTTTGAACCCGATTTGGCATTTTCTTGAAAAGCAAGGGCTGGGGTAAAGGCTATCCCTTGTGTGGACAAGGGCTGGGATCTGGGCTCATCGCTCCTTGCGTGAAACAAAACGGGGTCGTATTGAGGTGCTGGAGATAGGGAGTCGTATTTCGCCTTGCTAAAGGTTTTTTACCGATCTACGCAAGCCATATACACACTCCATGTCCTGGAGGAGGAGAGGGCGTGGTCGCGTACCTCATTAGAACACGACGGGACTGATCTGTTGGAGAAATATAAAGAGATCGCTTTTTTGGGATAGTTGCAATCACGTCTTTGTTCAGGACCAATAGGATGGCAGCTATTGAAAAAGGAAATATCCTGCAAAAAAGTATTTTACTGCACGTAAATCAAGCACCACAGCCACGCCCCCGTCTCTGAGATATCGAGTATACTTTCCCCCCTAACTGGCTGCGATGCTAAACTACAAACTACTACTTCTGGTAGTTGACTGGAGGTGTCTATGCCCTCCCCGCTCGACGTCAAAAATCGGGAAAAATCTCGGGAAAAATCTCGGGTCGTATTTCAAGAGAACTTCCTACAACGCTACAGCGTGCTTGGCTGCACAGGGACGCCTCAGCTCTACAGAACGGTCCCCAAAAGTTCACGTCAAATCTAGGCTAAAGTAGGCCTGCTGCCCACCCTCAACCAAGATGCTGGTGAGTAGCCTCGTTCAGACCACATTTCTGCGGAAAGGCAAAGATGCGCTGACTAAATCAAAGCCTGAACCTACTGGGAAAGCTGGATTGATACCACCTTGCCAGGGAATATCAAAGGAAGTAGGCACGATTGCTGGGGGTGGATGGTTGTTGCGAGCGCCATTTTTGGAAGGGCGATCTTTTGGCCACACCCCTTTGAGCCCTCGAACCAATGACGTTGGTGGCAACCGCCCGCCCCGCCCATCGTGTTCCGCATTCCGAATACACCATGATTTTTGTAGCGAGTAACTGTACCAGAGTTCTCTCGTGGAACAAAGATTATGTACCTGTCAACGACTTGAGAGAATCGTTGTCATTTGTCGGCTTGGAAGGGGCATTTTACACCTACTTACTTTATTTTGCTAGTTATTGTTGAATTACGCGTCTCATCTTGGTGCGACTTGTGAACTCTTGTCAGGTGAAAATCATGCTCCTATTATTGCGAAGCTTTAGAGGAATCTACGGCTACACTGGGGACATCGGCAGTGATGGATGGGAACAAGCAAAATGTCCCTCCAAGCCAAACTGCGCCAAGTCATCATCTGCAATGATGACTGGTTCTGCTGTGGGTAGGCTGTAGCCGGCCGCAGTTGTACTGACCTTTGAATGATCGACACCTTCAGTAACTGAACAGGTTCTTATCAGGCAAACTACGCAGACGACCCTTCTCAATGGCATTTCCGTCACTTTGACAATCAGACGTGAATTATGTGCTTTCTTTTTCATTTCCGCTTTTTTGGATAGTATATTCGGCCCATTTCGAACAGGGGGTGGCATTCTGAACTTTCGTTGCTTCCCTTTGTCGTCAAGCCATCAAGTAGAGATTGGTGAAAACTTGTGAAGCCATGAAGTGATACCAATCAAAGTTTGTAGGAATTACTTGTCAACCTTGTAAAGAGAACCTGTGACTCCCCCTCCCTCTAAAGCAATGAACACGACAACGTGAGGCAGCCAAAGTGCCAAATGCCCCCCCCCTAGTCACGCTTCGTGTTTTCTTTTCTCCTGCTGCGCCCTCAAGTAAACCTACTTGAGACCTCCTCCGACATTATTTACCCCTTGGTGCCCCCACTCTTCAAAACTCACGCCAGATTTTGATCGCGATTTTTCCCCGAAGGAAGATTTGGCCAGAATTCTATGCACTGATCGCTCTGAAGGGGCACATAAATAACTCCTCGCGCAAAATCGGGATTACTCTTGCGCGAAATTCTCTTTTGACCCTAAGGACGTAGGTTTGGCGCAAAACCCTTGACTCCACTGAGCAAAGCTAGTTGTTGCTCACACTCTTCAACTGGCCTCTCCCAGCCGATTTTTCTTCTTACGGGCTAGTTTAACACTGTGAACACAAGTGTCACCCCGCTTGACATGGTTCTTTCGCCGAAACAGCTCCATCCACCAGAGTCTGTAAAAACCAGTCTTG